GGTTTAGGGTTTAGTTTAGGGGTTGAAGCTTAGGGGTTAGGGCTTATAGGGTTTAGGGTTTAGTTTAGGGGTTACCACAATGTTGCTACAGAGTTTGTATACAGGATCTGTAGGGTTCTCTGTTTAAGGCTCCATGTTCCTATGTAGTATCTTAAGTTAAGCCTTTTAGTAATCCCAATGTGGGCGCAAAAAAGCCTAAGTATATACTGTATAGGTACGTGGAGCCGCAGGTTGGCTTGCAATACGATGCCACCGGGGGCGCCCCTACATCAGAACTTCACGTCCTGTTCAAGGGTTTAGGGTTTAGCGTGCTTGTGCCCCTGCTTCTGAAAACATAACAACCTCGAGAGACCAACAGGTTCAACACTGGCAAACTCCAACGACAGGAGGAGCACATGGGCTGCAGGACGATCATTGACATAGCACGAAAGAAGGCCCAAGACTCAAAACCCTAAAGAGTGCCCTGAACCGTTACCGTAAATACAACAGAAGGCCTACAGAATCGACAAAGCCTTACGCCCCAAAAACTACACTCAACAGAAGGCCTTTGCCTTCAAGCCAAAAGAAGGCTCTAAGCCCTAAATCGTAAATTCACAAGAAAGTCCGGAAGGACAACAGAAAAAGAGCCCTACAGATGCCTCCGAAATCCAGCCGAGGACTCTGATGTCTTCATCTTCCGATATCTCTAGGGTTTAAATTTAGGGAGCTGGTTGAAAGTTGAGGGCTTCGGAAATAGGATTGACGGATACTTACTTGTCAAAAGATCTCGTTGAAGATGATGAATGACAGGCTGCATCCGCGAACGTGTGCAGCAGAAGCACATTGCTGCCTCGAACCCTCAGCCCTAAACCCTTACTCCAACATGTGACAAACTGTTTAGGGTTACGGGTTTAGGGTTTAGGGTTCAGGGTACAAAACGACCAAGCTTTGCGAGAAACACAAAGCTCTGTAAGAGTCTGGAACCACAAGGACACCACGGGCTAGATCCCAGAGCAGCACTCTCCACGTGTATGAATAACGAAAATACCTATAGTCTCCATTGTAGTTCCTTCTTTTTGGTTTAACCAAATGTATATTAAGGATTTTATAAGGTATTCCCAGAGAGGACCCACAATGGAGACTACAGGTACGAATCAGCACACCTTAGCCGGAGCCTCCAAGTACAGAAGAGAATCACAGAATTTCACCTCAAAGTACCCACATAGGAAAGCCTTTGAGTAATATAGCCTGTACTTGGAGGTTCATAGGAAGTTGCAAAGTGCGGCTTTCAGCCCACTAATGTGAGTTATGAGTCTAGTTACCCTGGTTATAACTACGTACCCATGAACCTCCAAGTATAGCAGTATAAGCACATGAACCGTTGAAAACCCTATAGTAAACCCTGCAAGGCACTGAAAGATCCTGCAAACCCCTGATAGACCGTATAGGTCTAGGTACGCGTGGATCCAAAAGGAATCCCACAGGCCTTCGCGTATGTTAGAATCTCCGGTGGTGTTGACGGGACTTTCCAGATATTCTCTGGAAGCCTCCGGACGCTAGAACTGGTTGAAGGCTCAGCGTCCGTCTCAAAGGCCTTTCTTTCTATGGGGCTCATGTACCTATAGTCTCCATTGTAGTTCCTTTTTTGGGTTTAACCAATTATATATTAAGGATTTTATAAGGTATCCCCCAATGGAGACTACGTTAAGAACCCAAAACCTACTTTTTTGTAGGGTCCCTATAAATCCCATATTAGGGTTTATAATAAGAACCTACAAAAAAGTGGGTTTTGGGTTCTTAAGGTACAGGTAAGGGCTAAGGAAGCGTGGGTTTTTTCCTAGGAACCGCCTGGGGCTCGCATGAGAAGTCACGCACAAGTCGTGAAGTTCAGGGTTTGAGCTTAGGGTTTAGGGTTTAGGGTTACAGCCTTGGGTTTTAAGGTTTTGTGTTTGGGATGTGAAGGATTCGGAATACAACCCTAAAACCCATAGTTTCCTAAAACCCTCCACTTTGCCGGACGCCCAAAGGCTGCCAGGCCACTTGCCGTCCCAAGACTTCCAAGACTGATGCTGCGCAGACATGGCCGAGGTTGCGGCAACAGTAAGTCAATAGGAGCTATACTGAGTCTACTGGTTTCTGGCTTGCAAAATATGTTTCTCCGTTGGTACGAACCTGCTTTCTGGATGTCAATAGAATCGTATTGCTCACTGTTGTGCAAATCTTGTTATTATTTCAGCCCATCCGGAACGAACTCCCTAAACCGTGTTTTCCCCGCAGGGCTCGAGCCCACACAGGGCTCCTCACACGGGCCCTGTGTGAAAGATTCGGCAGCACAGACGCCTAAGGAGCTTCAGACTACGTGCCCACACAGTTTACTTCCTTACTTATCATACTTTGGAGATTGTACCGTACCTGCGGCTTGGCAATTGCATGATCAACCCTAAACCCTAAACCCTAAAGCCCAAACCTAAAGCCTAAACGCTTAATTAACCAATTTCATGATCAACCCTAAACCCTAAACCAGTTGCATGATGAACCCTAAACCCCGAACCCGATCTACCTGCAGATCTTATCTTGCCGCTTGAAAGACTCATGAGGCCGAGCAGTTCAGCCACCAGTGCTTTGATCTCTCGGCGATATCCATAGTAGTGCCTTTTTTTGGGATGGCCTTATAGGCTCCTAAATATAAAGCACCAAAAGGAACTGTAATAGAGCCTATTGAAGGGCGTATTGGGTATCTTTAACCAGCCCCAACATCTGGGTAGTTCTCTAAATTAGGGTCCCTTTTAAGGGTCCTTTTTACAAGGGTGCCGTACTATATTGAGGACCTAAAAAAGGGACCCTAACATAGAGAACTAGCCAAGTCTTAAACAGCCCCAACATCTACAACCATAGCGACGCCAGGCTGCACTCCATGTCTGTATTGTGTACGTTGATTCTTAGGGGCTGAGTACCCTAGCCCAAAAAAGGTTAACCTGTTGAATTATAGTAGAATTATAAGAGCCCCAAGAGGGTTAAAGGTTACCTACTCAGCCCCTAAGTGCCTGTATTGTGTAGATTTAGGGCATCGGAGTCCGGGATCGGGATTTGGGGCATAGGATGGCTCAGGGCTTTGATACACCAAAAAATGAGGTGGGAGTTTCCGGAAAAAAGGGGGAACCATATTCTAGGGTCCTCATAACAAGGAGCCTACTATTTAGGGTACTATNNTATATTAGGGTCCCCTGTTTTCGGAGTCCGCCATGTGCCAAATATTCCACATCACTTCTCTCCGGCATCCCTTGGGGGCAAGGCTATCATGGGTGAGGCAAAAGAGTTCGCGGGACCACTAGGCATCCTCATGTCGGCGATTGCTTGATAAATCTTTCTCCTGCAACGCTCGCGTGATTGCAAAATAAATCTTGAGGTTCTGCAATACCCCGAACCCTGCACCCGAACAAAACCTGTAGATCAGTAACCCTAAGCCTGATAACAACCTGACACCCCCCCCCCCCCCCCCAATTTCTTCATGCTGCATGTCAACTGTCGAGCCTGAGCCTTCCGTTTAAAGACAACAGAAAGTCTGAACCATACGGGCCATAAAATTAGAGCAGGGTATGGAGGTCTACTATTGCACTATGATACTGAGACCATACGGGATCACGATTACGAAATGAGCAAGCTCTTACATAACGAATTTGCGGTCTCTAGCCTGATGCCTTGAGCCTTGAATGTACAGCCGGGCGTCAGCTGCCGTGCATCCAGGAGCACTTCTACTAGGAGGGCTTAGGGGTTGGGATATCTGCGGATACGTAAAACATAAGCAGTTGTAGGATTGTAGGAATATGTTCGGCAGGCAAGTTGATGAATATGACGGCAATAGCCATGCTCTTCATCTCCAAATGCCTGACCCTGTCTATCATGTTGATGACCTCACATGCGGCAAGTTGCCTTGTAAGCAACCGTCCCAGGGCAGGAACACATGACTGCAGCGCCGCACAGCCCACCCTCAACCCTAAACCCTGAAC